GAGGGAAGCGGGCTTGCCTGTTCACTGATAGTGAAATGCAGTTGAGGCGGACAAGACTGCAGCTTGCTGTGGGCGGTACAACACATTGTCAGATCCTACAGCCCGGTAACAGCCACCCATGTATGAATAATATTTCATGTTTTATTCCAAGTTCACAGATAAAATAAATTTAAAGTTTACTTCTTTCTTCTATATACTTTCTACTAAGTTGGCAAATTTTTATTAAATTTAACTTTCTACCCATTTTATATCTATTCATTTCTGACTCAAAATCCCAGCTGCAGCCCTGACGGGTGTGGCTCAGTAGGTTGGTTAGTGTCCCACAAACCAAAAGGTCACTGGTTCAATTCCCAGTCAGGGCACATGCCTGGGTTGCGGGCCAGGTCTCCAGTTACAGGCATGCGGGAGGCAACCGATTGATATTTCTCTCCATAGTGATGTTTCCCTCCCTCTCCCTCCCTTTCCCTCTCTCTAAAAATAAATAAAATCTTTAAAAAAAATCTCAGCTTCAAATTTGTAGCTCCAAACACTCCTGATATTAATCTATTAAGTAGGCTAATTTCTGGACTTTAGAGCAGTCACTGAAAATGTCACAGGTACTAATAAACTAGTGGTTTTAGTGACATTATATTTGTACTTACAGGGAACAAATATGGAAAATAAATAATGTTTTCTACCCCATTCCGCAGGGGGCGAGAGCGCCCACAATTTCAGTACCTGAGATCCAGCACCTCAAACCATCGCTCACTGAGAGGAGAGTCAGCATTCCACCAGCCACTAAGATTTTGTTCATCAGCTTCTAGGTGTTAGAAACTACGTGAGAAAGTAATGGCAGGAATTTTTAGTTATAATCTGAATTAATTATTTATAGCTGCATAAAACTACCTCAAAACTCACTAGCTCAGCACAGTAATAATTTACTATCTTTTCTTTTTCGGTGGGAGCAACTTCTAGTCCAGGAGCAACTTGGCTGGGAAGTGCTGGCTTGAAGTTTGTTGTATGAGGGTGAAGTTAAATGTGCCCTGGGGCCTCAGTCCCCCGAGGACTTGACTTGGGTTGGAGGTTCCACCTGCGGGCGGCTCGCCCACATGGCCGGCAATTCGCTGCTGACCGCCGGGGTGGTGGTCTTCCTCTCCCCGTGGGCGCCGCTCCCCCGGCCTCCTTGAGGTTCCTCGTGGTGCCTGGGCCACCTTTCCCAGAGCAGGTGGTCCAAGAGACCAAGGCGAAGCCTCTCCTGCCTTTTATTAGGAAGCCTTGGGAGTCACGTACACGCTGTCACTTGTGCAGTGCCTTCTTTGTCGCACCGGTCAGCAGCGATTCAGTGTGGGAAGGGGAGGCACAAGGGCATGACTACTGCGAGGTAAAGATTCATGACTCTCTTGGAGACGGGTACCAGAGTTTGCCTTTTAGGGGAGCGGAGGTCCATGTCCCTTCTCTGTGAAAGCGCACTCACCTCCTCCAAAAGCCCTCCAGAGTTCCGTCCCATTGAAGCACCTGCTCAACACCCAGTAACTCATCAGCTGGGTCACGTTCCTACCAACGTGAAGCTCCTGGGGAAGTCCAAGAGCACAGGGAGCTGTTTGGGTAGAGCTACTCAAAGAGAGCTGCTCCCCTGAAGACCTGCGAGCAAGGTCTAAGCCACTCACACAGCCCACACGCAAAGGTTGGCGAGGCATAGAGGTGTTCCGTTAGACTCTCCGGCTCAGAGCGAGAGCAATAAGTCACCCTGAAGTAATGGGCCCATCGCAGCTGTGAAACCCAGTCAGGCACCCATGGGGAATCCCTTGATTAGAACTCAGACCTACTCTTTCCTGGAAACGATGTTCCGTGGCTTTGCCTCTGCCTTCTGGGTTCTTCTTTTAACCACCGTGACCCATACTTTCCTTTTTAAATAAGATATAACCTATGTTTTAAGCTGAGGAGTTTCCTGCCTGGAGAAGTTGAGGGTCCAAAGACTTTTTTTTTTTTTCCATCTTGTACCATCCCTGCCTCTTTCAGTTCAAGCCAGTGGTATCATCATGAGCACAGTTCTCTTAATATCTGGGGGCTTTCTGTCAATGTTACGCGGCTTTACTCCATTAAACAGGTTTTCTTTTTCTTTTTTTAGCATTGGGTTTCTGCTCCATGCTAAGGGCAAAATGCCCTTAAGGTTATTAGAATCCCTATTGGATAACTCAGAGGATTTGTAAGATACACCAGCATGCTGTCTAGAGGTTTTTTGGTCTGGCTAAATGTTTCTTTGAGGCACCACCTACTACATTTTGGAGATATTAACATGGATTTTACGGTCACGCCTCACTGTCCTCCTTAGATTGTGTTTCTCTGGTCATCGACCTTTGCCTGAACGTGGTTTCCAAACCTTTGCATTGCCTGCCATCTAGAGAGGCTGCAACTGGGAAAACATTCATCTTCAAATCCATCAAGTCCTGGCTTCTTTATATTTCGCAGCTTTTCTTTAGCTTTTTTACTTCTTTTTTGCCTTTTACTATAAATAGGAAGATGTCAGAATTCTCTGTTTGGAAATACCTTAGCGAGATTATAAAATTTATCAAGTACAACTTCTTCCTTCCCATGGAATTTTCCCTTCTCAGCTTCCCACCGCAACGTGGGCGGGTCTGGCTTTCTCTCATGCCCAGGAGCATCCTTTCCTCGCCTGCCTTCGAGACACTACTGACAACCTCCCTCAAAGCCACCAGGCTCTCCTGACAACCTTTCCAGGACCGTCTAACATACTGGGACATCCCAGCCCCTGAGTCACTGCCACAGTGTTAGATGTGTGTTACGATTCTCTCTCAGTACCAAATTCATTATTATTTATTATTACATGACAAATCACTCCAAAATGTCATGGCTTACGTCCGTGATTGATTTTCTCTCCGGGGCCTCTCCGCAAGACTGCTCGGGCAAGCTGGCTGGCTTTTCAGGGTCAGCAGCCTCAGGGACCAGGTGGAAAACCAGCCTTGGGAGTCACGCGCGGCCACCACTTCCACGGTTTCCCACTGACCTCAGAGGTCGGCCCTCCTTCAGTGTGGGAGGGCCGTACAGAGGAGAGCGAGTTCATGCAGCCCCTCTTGGAAGTGTTAAAGATGATGCAAGGAGAGGGGGGAAAAAACCTAAATTTTTAATAGCTATGTGGCAGTTGGTCCTATAATTTTCTTCTAGAATGCATCGCATGTAAAAAAAATGAAAGGACTTGACAATTCAAACTACAAAATTGACTAGGGCCAAATAGAACGTTGTTATGGGGGACTAAGGAAGACTTGTTTCGTGAACTCAATTATCCCCAATCCAATCAGCAGCGATCTGTGTGTTGTGCAGCTGCCTTGCTTCAAAGAGGGTCTTTTTCTCCCAAATAGATCTACTCATTTTGGAATATTTCAAAGCTAGTGTGGATATTTAGAGAGTCCCAAGTATTCAAAAAACAACCAAATTGTTGTCTTGTCAAGAATAGTCATTAAAGTTACAGCTGCATGTTTTCTCTCTGCTAAGTTTAGACATTAACTCCTTTCAATATTATCTTGATTAAACAGATTTAAAATCATATGTATGCAACTAGTCTAAATAGATGACTTCTCTAAGATCAGCAAATTCCAAGGTGACTAAGTCAGTGCAAATGGAAAAAAATACGACTAGGAAAAAAATACATAAATGAGCAATATGTTTGACATTGAAATAAAGCCTTATATTATTTTTTAAGTCAAGGAATTAATTTAAGTATAATTCTATTTTTACATAGTATTCCATTGATGGAAAAGTGTATACTACACCTCTGAGGTTAACCCTTAAAGAAAAAACCATTAATAAAGGGAGAATGTTTCTCTTGTCCTAAATTACTATTACTAATCCAATGGAATAGGATATTTTTAAAAATCACTTCATGGTCTTTTTTAAAAGTTTTTTTAATTGAAAATTCACTTTATTAATGGCACATACTAGTATTAATCCATTTTGTATAAATTACATGTACTATTAGATTGAAATAACTGTGTGAATAACTTGAGATTTTAAAGCAAATTAGTACAGTTTCATTTGCTCTGATAGGTCACCTTGGTGTGAGGAACTATATAAAAAGGAGATGCTTTCTGGAGATGCTCCGTGGGATCGAGCAATATTATTCCCTGTGGCCTGCACATTTCCTATGCATAATAATTTTCTGTGCATTTTTCTACTGAAAGGGTGTAGTGGTAATTGATTTGGTGGTGCTATTTTAAAGTTATTTTGAAATAAAAATTTTAATGTCTGATTTCAAACCTGGTATATGTATGTGCTAGTCCCTAATAGAACTAGTAGTATTTACTCTATTTGGTGGTCTTGTTTTTTATTCTTTTTTAATTTTAGTTTTATTTATTATCATTCATGCTCCCTTTACCCTATTAGGTAGCATATATTCAGCAGATATTCAGAGCACAGTGGCTGACCCTCTTGTACCTAAACATATCTCTTCATAATGTTTCATAGGATTTTATAAATTGAGAAATCATTTGTAATGCAAAAATATCTGGGTGGAGTTAGACATTAATCCATAAAGTATAAGTCATATTACTTGATAATAATAACTTCAGCTTCTTGACATCTAAGTAATAGGCCTCTAGGAAATTAAGAAAATAGATGTAATATTGAAAGTATAAGAGGAAGGCAGCTGGATAGTTGAGAAAGGTCTAAGGTTTATGTTCCAGGCTCCACATGCAGGGTCAGGTGTGGGAGTGCAGCAGGGAGCCGCTGACAGAAGGACAGGGAACGATGACAGAGTGAGAAAGAAGATGTCAAGTGGGGTGCTAGACCCCAGAGACAAATATTCATCTGGATTCAGCCCTTACTTCTTTCCCTGAAATGCCATCTCGTTCCCACGAGACTTCCTTCTCGCGCATTGTGTACGACACCCGCGAGGCTCCACAGGACGGGACCGGAGACCATGGGCGGGGTCAGGGAGCGTCCCCTAGGAATTGCAGTGACGCGTGCTGGGCACAGGGTTTAATGTCCCCATCTCCACTCTCTCACAGGGTTTCTGAACCAGATGAGTAACTCAAGTCACTCTGCCCTCCAGCCGTCATTCCAAGGATGCATGCAGCTCCTTCAGGTGGACGACCAACTTGTCAATTTATACGAGGTCGCACAGGGGAGGCCAGGAAGCTTTGCGAACGTCAGCATCGACATGTGTGCCATCATAGACAGGTAAATGGTCTTTTCGTCCTACTTCAGGCGGTCCAGAATTTCCAAGTGCATATTTATGTTGTGGGACGAGTGAAACACCCACCCTCTGAGGGGTCCGGCCAGAGGAGCCATCTGCATGTCTCTGGTCCTCTATGTGTGACATTAGCAGTAACACTTATATCAGGACATGGACATAGATGATAGAACAACCTGCGCTGTAACATTGATCTGGTGGTTTTTAACTTTTTTCAACTCAGGGTACACATAAACTAATTACTAAAATTCTACAGCGCACCAAAAATAAATATTTTTTGCCGACCTGACAAAAAGGTAGGTAAAATTTTGATTCACTCACACTGTACGGCTACTGTTGCGTCGGCTGGTGTCATTTTTTTATTCAAGTCTAAGGGAAAAGAAGAGGTCAGTGCCCCTGACGAAATAGTCAGGTAGTGCATGTTTTAAAAATTCTCGCAGCTCAGCAGTTGAAAATCGCTGCTTTAGTCCATCGGCCCCCCTCAGTGCGCGTGCACTTTGTGGAGGTGGTTTTGCCAGCAACGGGTGAGTTGTAAAGGAACTCAGTTTATGTGGAGTTGTGCTTCCTATGCCCACCAACAGAGATGCCCCTTCTCTCCTCGTCTTGGTCACAACGCATCCGTATCATGCTGTCCCCTCTAAAGCCCCCTCCTAAAGAAAAAGAAGCATTAAAAAATGTTGGTGGGCGGCCCAGGTACTTACTGAAGCGGAATATTTACTGTAATTGAGTCTGCTTACAAAACGCACGTGCTAACCCATTGCAAACTGTAACCTGGGGAGGAGCTTTTTATAAAACCCGAGTTGACTTCTCACACAGTGGAAAGACACAGTTTTTGTATGAAATATTGTGGCAACACCACACACTCTACGGTAACATATGTCTAAAAACGTCTTTCATCCCAACAAGAAAATGTTTCATTTTTAGATGTTTTGCCCATAAGCAAACTACATCTAACCATGGGCTGAATTTAACTTGATGAATTTAAGTGATTTTAAAAACCAATATTAAATCTTTTATGAGAGGGCTACCTTATCCTGAAAAATAATTTTATGTTTTGAAGGATGAAAGTTCCATAAGTCTTAACATGCCCCCAACAAAATATACACTTTAAGTCTCTAATAATATTATTTCATTTACAAGGAAATCCTTAGGGAAGTCATTCAAAGATATATAATTATTCTGAAATATATATCTATAATGAAATAAGTTTGTTCCATATAATCTTAATAAAATAGTATTCACGTGAATGGTGAATTACAGTTTATGACATCTAAGGAGTGTAAATTTTAAAGCCTTAATATGTTTGTAATAAAATTTGACATATAATAGTGCTTATTTCTATTACATATTTGTAAATAGTCATCCTGATATAGCCTAAACAGTTTACATCTAAACAGAACAATGAACAATTTTAATAGAAATATACTCCTAATTTTTGAACCATCAATAATATAATAGCTGTTATTTCTGCCTAATACAAATGGTAGCAATAATCAGAAAAACATAGAGATGAAAGTTTTATGATTATATGTTCTGATATTAGATGTTTATCTATAAATTTTAATAATTATTTTCCATACAGGAAGATTTTCCTCCTTCATAATAGTTATACAGCATATGGAGCTATTTTAGCACCTTGTCCATTTTCTATGCCAGTAGCTTTAATAATACAATAATTTCTGTCAGTAATAACCAAGTCATTTCATTCAGCTTTCGTAAACAGGCTAGATTTGATGGTGATGCTGCTGTTTCACTTAAAACAGCATGTTTCCTGGGCATTATATTTAAATTGTTTGCTACTAAAAACGTACTTTTAGTACGTTTTTAGTAGCAAACAATTTAACAGGCGAGATATTGAAATTTTAATGTCTTACTCCCATGGAAAGAGTAGGAGCTGAACTGGCCCCAAAAGAATGAATGAGCTTTTGGTAAACGAAGACCGTCGAAGGTGGCCTCCCAGTGAAGATGTAGCACAGGGAACGCCAGCTTCAATTTTTGGAGCTACAGGAGTACAATTTGTTTTTAACCGAAAAGGGTCAGTCCTGTTGTTGACAAGTGTCCTGTAGCGACAGAACAAGGAGTTTCTTTCTGATCCTCCCAGACGATAACCCGAAAGAGCCGCTCTGGGAAAGCAGCCGCCTCTGAGCCAGCTCTGCAAATTCTCTACAACCGCTCTGGAATCCGTTTTCTGCTTGTCTTGTGTTGTGAAGGCAATGACTTCTGTACATTAACTACCAATGTGTGGAATAGCAGATTCCTTCATTTACCCAGAATGTCCCCAGATCAAACTTTTAATCTGTGAAGTGTTTTCATAAATATGACACAAGGTTCTATTCTCTTTATTCAAACAGTGGAGATCATCGGTGATTTAATCTGTGCCTGTTCAGGCAGAGGACTAGTGGAGTTAGCCTGTCCTCACACAGCGGTGACCCATTCGGTCACACTTTAACGGCACATCCCTAACCCATCCCTTGTTTGATTCCGCCCCTGCCCCACTTCAGGAAGTACAACTTTGCAACTGCCCGATCCCTGCCATCTTATTTCTGAACTACCTCCATTCTCCCTAAGTAAGCCTACATTGGCTCTTTCTTTTCTCCCTTCAAATTTCAGCTCAATGATTTTAAGGCTATTTTTGAGGGGGAAAAAAGGATAAATGAGAACATAGGGTAAAAAAAAAAAATAGCTACCACAGGCGTGCTTTTTATAAAATGTTTGGAGGTAATAGGAGCAGCTGCAATGACTTGATGAGTAGAACTTAGGGAAGCCGTTTGGGGAAGATGACACTAAAGGAGTTTTTCTGAGTGCCATTCTGGAATACCCTATGATTTCAACTTATTTTTCTTTCTGTGTGTGGCTGTACATGTGGCTTGTTTGTTTCACTGGTTTGTTTTCTGAGCACGGCATCCTGCCTGCTAAAGAAGTATTCATTCAGCAGTATTTTCGAGTGTATTCATGGCTCAGGCACTGTGTTGGGCCCTTAGCATTGATCATTGTACAAAATAGACAAAGATGCTTGTACTTTTGAAACCCGTGATCTGGAAGGAAGGGAGGAAGGAACAGATGCAATATAGAAGTAAATATTACAGTAAGTTAGAAGGCGCACGTACTACAGACAAAAGAAGTAGAGCGAATCAAGGAGGACTGGCATCCCAGGAGACCGAGGGGTTGGGTTGCAGTTTCAATAGGTCAGTGAGAGTTAACCTCGCCGAAAAGATAATAACAGCTCCAGACCTGAGAGAGTAACAGAGCTGGCCAACTTGGGGAAAGAGCATCGCAGGAGAAGGGAGCACTCAGTGCCACGAGGCTGCCTGGCATGACGCGGGATCAGCAAGGGGCCAGGGTGGCGAGTCGGGAAGGACGAGGAGCAGAGTTGCAGGAGAGGAGGCCAGGTCCTGGAGCCCTGCAGTCACTGCGAGGCTGTGGCTTTTATTCCGACGGAACTAGGCGCCGGTGTGCGTGTTTTGAGCAAAGCTAGGGAATGGTCTAGCTGCATTTCACAAGGACAGCAGGCTGTGGGAGGGGGGCGGCAGGGAGCCTGTTCCCGCTGTCCGCTATCCGCTGTCCGCTGTCCGCTGTCCGGCGGGAGGTGGCGGTGGCCTCAGGCCTGGGCGCCAGGGCAGGAGGGAGTGAGGTGTGGCTGGTTCTGCACATACTCTTATGGAGAAGGTGGACCCAGTGGCATTTCTTGCTGGGTTAGATTTGGGGTGTGAGAGGGGAGAGAAAGTGATTTGGTGAAAGCAACTGCATGGAAGGAGTTCCTGTGTCCTCAGACAGGCAGGCTCGTGGTAGAGACTGGGCGGGGGGTTAAGGGGAAAAATCATGAATTCAGTGGAGGGCATGAGGCGACATGTCTGTTGGATGTTTGAGTTGAAATGTCAAGAAGGCAACTGGTTGTAAGCATGTACCAAGCGTACGTCAGCAGATGATGCACCGGGATGTTGTGCCTGACAAAATCGCCATGTTCGCCTATTGAGGGCCTGGGTTTCTCAGCCTCATTTCCTGAACAGCCACAGAACAGAAAGGGAGGTGGTGAGCAGGGGGGCAGGAAGAGGCTTCCTATGTCCTCGGAAGCCTCCAGCTCTCCCCTCTCACCGGTCCCCTGCTCTTCGGAGATGCTGAAAACAGTCAGATGGCAGCAGGTAGCCTCCTTGCATAATCATCACCTTCTATCTGCCCTCAGCACCCTCACCGCTGCTTCCGGAGGCAAACATCTGCAGATGCCCTGTACAGCTCCTGTTCTCAGCCCCTCCCCTCCAGCCTCTTCTCAGGCGTGAAAACCTGAGCCAAACCCCTGCAGAAACACTCTTAGGAGGGAAGTGAAGTTTATTCACTTCCTCCTGCAGAGGAACCACAACAGAGCCATGGGGCATTTCCAAGGGAGTGGGGTGAAGGGCAAAGGGAAGGGGAGCGGGAGAGAGTAAGGGAAGGGGCTGGGGGCTTCAGTGAGTCCCATGAGGGCCCTGGCAGGCGCTGGTCAGAACCTGCGAGGGGCTGGCGGCAGCAGGCGGTGGGTGGGACAAAGCGGGGAACTCATGCGGAGTCACTGCCGGGTTTGGGGGTCCGCGGTTCTCACCCAGGACGCACGGGGTGAAGAAGCTGCCGTGAAAGTATTTTGAGTTTAATTAGGTGGTGCTTTTGCCTCGTTTGGAAAAATGCATCTGTTTTATGAAAAGTAGTGGTGTCTGGTTTGCTAGCTATGACTTCCGTGTCCATCCTCAGACCTCCCTCCTAGCCCAGCTGCCAGACAGGTATCTTTATCATCACCATCGGCAGGAGTAGCCGTGGGACGCAGCCCTGGCTGCTGAGATAAGCAGGCGTCAGCCGTGGTGTTCCTGAGAAAGCTTTTATTGCCCTGATTCAGCTCCCCTCCACTGTCCTTGATCCATTGCAGATGCCACGCCTGGGGCCACACGGTCAGAAACCCCGAGCTGAGCGCACCTGCCAGCATCTCCTTCTCTCCTTTGTATGTGGAGAGGAGTAATCCGTG